ACCCCACTCTCTGATTACGTCAACTGCACTTAAAATGAACGCTCCAAATGACAACACTAATGTTCCTGGTTCTTCCTGTGTTTGAGGGATGCCCGGCTGGGCCACGTGACTTGCATGGGCCAGTGGTGTGTGAGGGGAGCCCCCAGCTGTGCGGACTCAGAGGCACCTGCTGGGTGAAGACGCGAGGGCTGCGCGGCCCAGGAGCCCGGTCCGCGGGGGGTGGTGCCCCGGGGAGGAGCAGGTGCTGCCGGGGAGGGGGGCCCTGAGATGCTGGTGCTGTTTGTTACCACGGCATCGCCTGCCCTATTCTAACTATTGCAGCGACTGACTGTCTTACAGACGTGGGAGTCACAGAAGCAAGTGAAAATGAGGGGAGGGGTAAAGCAGAACATTTCACACCAGGGCCTCGGAGTCGCGTGAAAGGCATACTTGGAGGAAAACATTGTAAGTGCCTCCACTTGCCGTGAAGACACACAAGGAACAAGAACAAGCGGATGAAGAAGATGTGGTGTGTACACACACACACACGCCCCGGAATATTGCTCAGCGGCAGAAAACAATGGAAGAGCGCCGTTCGCAGCAGCGTGGACGGACCTGGAGGTGACCACACTGAGTGAAGTCAGTCAGAGAAGGACAAGTATCATATGATAGCACTTGGATGTGGAATCTAGAAAAATGATACAGATCTTATCTACAAGCCACAAACAGGCTCGCACACGTAGAAAACAAACTACGGTCACCAAAGGGGAAGGGGCGGGGGAGGGATAAGCTGGGAGCTTGGGACTAACAGACACACACGGCTGTGTGTAAAGCAGGCAAGCAACAAGGCCCTGCGTGCGGCACAGGAGCTGCACTCACTTCCCTGTAACGAGCTATGATGGGCAAGAATCTGAGAGGAAGTGTGCGTGCGAGTAACGGGATCGCTTTGCTGTACGCCCGGTACCAACGTCGTACATCAGCTACGCGTCAATGGAAAACAAAATTTAAAGTAAAATAAAATAGCCCTCCTTCCCCCCAACCCCCCCAAACCAGTGAATAGGTCCTTATTTTAAGAGAGGAACAAATTAGCACAAAGACTTTATTACGATAGGAAACAAGTTTAATGAAGTAGAAAACAGAATAACAGGAAGGCCGGTGACTCTGGGGACTGACGTGGTAGGTCACCCGCTCACAGGCGTGAGGGGGCAGGAGACAGACCTGAACCAGACCGGCCAGGAGTGGGCGGGAGGCGTGAAAACCCGTGACCAAGAACTACAAGCCGGGGGAGGGGCCGGAACTGCCCCCGGGGAAGGACGAGCTGCAGGGGGGGACCTGGGGGCTGATGGCTGGGGGCGGCGTGCGGGGGCTCGGGGCCCCGTGGGAAGGCAGCCGGCGGCCCCTCCGTGCGCCGCCCCCCAGCCTTAAGGAAAGTTCTGGGCGATGCCGGGGAAACAATTTTAGTCTCCAGAAAAAGACACAGCTCCCTAGTTTATCACACAAACCCAGCTCGGTTTTCCGGGCAAAATCTGATGGAATGCAAAATACTCGAAACAAACAGCAAAACAAACCTCTAGCCCAGCCTCACTTGTGAGGATGTTGCAGAACCCCTCAACGGACCGTCAGCAGAGGGGTTCTGCAGGGAGGCAGAAAGCGCAGCATCAGTGGAACGCAAGGCCTCTTCACGGTCAGAAAGCCCAGGACACACGCGTGAAACCCATGTGCGGAGGGAACAGACCTTGTGAGCCAGCCCGAAAGTCACCCCTCACGACACTGGCGACTTCCTAACAAAGGCTTTGACGAAACAAGGCGGAAACAGCTTCGCATGTTTACTGAAACTGCAAGACGTTAGAAGCATTTCAACTGAAGTCAGGGGCAAGCTGGGGGCCTCCTGCTCTCGGAGGGATTAGCGAGTGCAATGACACAAGGCATCAGCGAGCACCTGACGTACACAAGGGCAGCGCGCCTTCCTTTTGCCGACGTGGTGCTCGCGTGCTGGGGCACAGAAAGGGTCTGGAGCAGAAGAGCTCAGGTGGAGAGGCACAGCTCAGGTGCGGCCGGGCGAGGCGGGGACAGAGCAACGAGCAGCCTCCCTCTGCCGGCAGTCGGCGCCCAGGCGTCACAGGACGCAAATGCTGTTTCTTACACGCACACCCGGACGCACACGTGCACGCAGACACGCGAGCCTGAACGGCACAGCAAGGCGCACGCGTGAGGAAGCGGGCAGCACATCACGAAAGGACACAACACCTACAACAGGAACAAAAGTGAGTAAACGCCCCGCTTTGGGCGCAGGACCCGCTGCGTCGCAGAAACGCCCACCTCTTAAGTGAACGCGCACCTGGGCCGCAGTTCCCGGGAGGCCCCCGCCCTGCCTTGCGGCAGCCTGGCTGCAATACGGGAGCCCCGAATCAGCGGGGCCCGAGGCGAGAAAGCAGGCTTGTCAAATGCGGCTATCTTTTCGAATATGCACAAATGCTGTTAGGACAGAAGTGAAAACTGAGTCACAGGCGAGAGCTTGTTGGGGTGCGGGCCGTCCAGGGAGGGACGGAGTGAGGGGGCGGTGCTGGGACCCCTGCCCCCTGGGACCCCGACCCTCGTCCCTTCGGTTCAGGAAGACAGATGCGTCAGAAGGCAGCTGGCCTGTTCTGTGACCTTGACCCCTGCAGGGGTGGGTGGGGTCACAGGTGAGGTGGACCTTGCAGGTGACCTGGCTCGCTCAGCCCCTCTGCCCGCGACCCAGGTCCACAAGCTCTGGCGGCAGCATGACTGGTTGGCATCCTGCCCATGGGAACCAGCCCTCCTGGATGGAGAGCGCTGGGGTCTGGCAGGAGCCGCAGCGGGTGAGGGGCCTCGTCTGGGTCTGGGATGGGGGGGAGGAGAGACAGGGCAGGTGGGGCTGACAGTGGCTGGGCCGGGACCAGACGTGGCCACAGAGGGACCGCAGGGCAGCCCTGCCTTAGCCTGAGCCTCCAGACGAAGGCGCATCCAGGCGGACTGTGCCCGTGACAGGTGGCCTTACAGCTCAGAGCAGGAGTCACCGTGGGCTCTGGGTTGGGGTGCAGCAGCTGCTTCCAAGGCCCCCGGCAGCCCGCTCATGGCCCTGGCAGTCCGCTGCAGGGGTGGCGGCCTTGGACCTCGGGGTGTGTCTCCTTGTGATTCTTGTGTCAGAGAAGGGAGATTTTACGGCTGCAGCCCACGACTCGGAACACAGGAGCAGCAAGCAGGAATACAGTGAATCCTTGTTCAAAACGGCACGATGTCGAAGCAACACTTGGAGAAACTGGTGGAGGTGCCCAGGGCCGTGTGGACACGAGCAGGGAGCCGACTGCCCAGCCACCTCCCTGGACAGGCAGACCCAGGGTCCGGGTGCGGCTGGGCCCACGTGGTCCTCTGTGGACCCCTGGGGTGGCGCTGGCGGAGGGGAGCCAGCTCCCCTGGAAAACCCTTGTCTGGACGTGCACTTGCCCTGGACACGCGCTGACTCAGGAGGGGTCTGGAAGCCCCCGGTGGTGATGACGCTGAGGGCTCGGCGGCCGACCCTGCGCCCCCAGACGAGGAGGCCAGGCGTCCCCTGCAGCAGCCGACCTTTGTTTCAAGTACGACTGTCTCTCCTTTCGGTTCTTGCCTCCCTGGAGACTGTTTTCCCTTGTTTTTATCTGGAATAAGAAGGATTGCGCCTAATTAGGCGCTGTCACTGCCAGGGATTTAACTGCAACCTCTGAGTGTTTCGCCTTCCTTGTGCTGTGCGGCGGGCCTTTAATGACCGTCCATGGGCGGTGTGGTCTTTGTCAACAATACGTCAGCCGCACCCCACCCCCGGTCCTGCTGCGGAGCCGCCCGACTCCCCCCGGGATCGATGGCTGGGAGTCACCCACCAGCCTTCCTGTGGAGGTCGAATCCCTTAATTCACTGAATAATTAGATTTCCACAGAAATCAAAGAGGGCCGCCCGCGGCAAGTAGCAGACTCTGCTTTTACGATCCCATACACCTTGGCCACTTTTTATGGCTGTCTCTTTATGTTTTAATGAAAGAAGGCCACTTAGCTATAAACCGATTACTAGGAACATAATCAGGTCGTTTCTTTGCAACAAATCAATCAACGCAATGCTAATTACAGATGGTCTTTTAGACTTGGATTAATCTATTAGTAATTAAACTGGAGTGCAAATCCAGCCTCGATCTTAATTGTCGCCAAAAGGCACAAACGCCTTTCCGTTGTCCGATAGCACGCGGCTATTTGGCCTGATGGAGAAGAAAACTCACCTGGGGTCTAGCAGGCTCGTGGCCCTCGCAGCATCTTCGGGGCGGTCTTTGAGGCGTTCGCGGGGAGTGTCGGGGGTGGCGCTTTGGGAAGTTGGGCTCTTTTTTCTCATTCGTTTATAATTTAATTTGCATTTTTATTGTGCGTGTAAAATAAGTTCTTTTCCTCTAAAGCAGAGACATAAATTCCCAGGCCTGATTCCATCTCACACAGCCCATCCCTCCTCCCGGCAGGCTGGCGGGTGGCTGGGCTGAGGTCGACACGACATGCTGACCTTGAAAGGACCCCTCGCTCCGGGGCTGAGGCTGGGGCGACCTCCCCTGGACGCTCCCGTGAGAGCGGGTGGGGTCACGGCCACTGCCGGGAGCCTCACTCCTGTCCAGAGCCACCTCCTGTGTTCTTTGCGAAGCCTTTATGCTGTTCTGATTTGTAACTTCAACACTAACATATGTCGAGAGCTTTTTTTATTTTACAGTTGAGGAAACTCAGAGAGGGGACTTTCTCACTTGGGGTGACGTGAGCGGCTGGAGGACCAAGGCCACGAGGCCCCTGGACGTGGGCACAGGGCCAAGCCTGGGGTCGGAACCAGCATGAACCGGCCTGTGGTAAATGGGGCTTGTTTGGCGAGAACCGTCCGGGAGGAGGAAGGGGGTTGCTCCCCCGCCCCCACCCTGGACCCGCTCGGGCTCACCGCCCGCTGGTCCTGACCTTGGCCCTCAGGGCACACCGCCCTCTCGGAGGCTCCCCAGGGGCTGGCTTCCGCCCCACCCGAGTGTGCGTTGTTTCTACCCTCAGGGTTGGCGGTGCCGGGCGTTTGCTGGTAGCCGTGCTTGGTTAACGACTGGCTGATGTCTTCAGAGACGAGGGTGGGCCCGGAGGCCGTGAAGAGAGGCCCCCCCCCCACCCGGCATCCTCGCCAGCTTCCCCCAGACGCGGGCGTCGCCTTCGGGTCTGTGACGACTCGGTCTCTCAGGGGGGAGCGCGGCAGGTCGGAGGCGCCCACAGCAGGGGCCAGCTCGGCCGGTCTGAGGACCAGGCTGGCCCTGGGTCTGGGCTGATGCCCAGGATGGACCAGCAGGAGGTGGAGACACCTGGCAGGTTTGTTCCCTGAGGACCCTGGAGCAGCAGTGCTGGCCCCTCAGGGCTGAAACTGGGTTTTGTTTCCGGTCGCTCCCTCGGAGTGGGGCCAGCAGAGACCAGCGCTGCCCCGGGGCCGGGCGCAGAGAGAGTCCTGGCTTCAGAGCAGACCCTCCTCCCTCCTGCATCCTTAGCCTGCGTGATGGACACATGCGCGGCTCTCCCTGGGAGACCCCCAAGGCTGGCAGCTCCGGGCACCGGCCAGCCAGCAGTGTCCCCTGCCAGGGTCCGAGTGCCCAGGCTCCAGGACGACCGGAGGGTTGCTCTCCCAAGTCGAGTCCACGTGTCTGCCTTTTGCCTCTCGTGGGATTTCTCCTGACGAGGTGGCCTTGCTGGGCGGGAGGGAGGGAGTGGACAGCCGCTGCTCCCCCGGGGACAGTCTGCAGTGGGGGGGCAGGGGAAGTTGCATGCCGGCCTGAGGAGCTGGACGCTGATTTCCAGCACTGAGTCCTGCATCCTCCTCTCAGGAGCGAAGCGAGGGTGACTGGGGCTATGATTCAGGGTGCAAGTCGGGGGCAGCGTCTGCGGCTGGCAGGCTGGGACAGAGGTGACAAGAGGACGGCAGACGTCCCGTTTCCAGGGGGTCTTCCAGAGGGGGAGCCTGCCGGCTGCAGGCCCAGGATGGTCTGGAGAGAAGAGACAAACCCAAGGCAGGTTCGGGGCTGCGCAGGCAGGAAGCTCGGTGCCTCCACCCTCCCCAGAATTTTGCCGGGTTTGGGGCAAGAAAACAGAGCCAGCAATGACCCACCAGCCCTTCGGCCGCCTCCCTGAGACCCGTGTATACTAAATTATCACATTCACGCACCTGCTTCTATAGCACACGTGTGTTACACAGAACGTGCACAGGGCCCTGCGGAGCACGGGAGGCAGCGGCCTCGCCATGCGGCCCGGCCCGGGCT